CTGTTCCAACTCCTGTGCCCACAGCACAGACAGTGCCCGCTCTGCTCCCACTCTCCCAGGAGGATGTTCCACCAAGAGGAGATGATTTTTGGATGATTTCTGGATGATTTTTTGTCCTGTGTGCCCTCCCCATGTTCGTTTTTTACCGTCCCATGCGTTGGAAATGAGTCACTTGTGAATGAAATTGTGCTCACGGTGCAGTCCTGGTTGCAGGGTTATTTAAATGGTGTCAAACACAATGAGCTGCTTTTCTGTCAATAAATGTGGTTGTTGGTAAAGGGGGTTTGCCTTGACCCACCTGTGGGGCTGCTCACTCCTCAGAGAGGTGTGTGTGTCCCATCTGTCTGTCCTGAGTTAATACTTCATGATTTTAAATGTTCATTTTGTTCAAGGCATGGTCTTGACAATATTCACGACTGTGGCAAATTCCTCTGTAATTTTTCTGTTGTTCCACCTCCTGGATCCTTTGCTCACTTCTTAATTTATCTGAATTCATTCTTCTTTTATACTGAGAACATATTCAGGCAGGCTGCAGACTTATGTGACTTGTGGTGTTGGAAAAGAGCAGATCCTCTTTCCATTCCACAGTAGGCCTCCTTGTTTTGGTTACAATATTCAGGCTTTACAATTATGTTTTATTCACAGGAATACCCCACAGGAGCAGAAAAACCTCACATTTTTTCATTATTTTATCCCATTTCCATCAAGACCCACTTTTCCTGCCTCTTCCTGTCACTTGTCTCTGTCCCTCCCATCTCTTCCCTACCTACAGATGCCAGGGAACTTCTGATAAAGGCAGAGGAGGTGATTATTCCCCAGGTAAAGAATGGCAGCTTCTGCCTGTGTGAAGTCTGGGAGTTGCCTAATTAGAGCTGTAATCCCAGCGGGAGATTGAGCAGAGGCACAAAATACCTGAAAGCCAGAGGAGGGGACAGACATCAGCCCCCACAGCTCAGCAGCCCTCGGCTCTTTGCTGGGAAAATCACAAATCCTGAAGGAAAAGATTGCANCAGTACTCCAGCAGCCTTTGGGGACCCCCCAGCGCCGACGATGGAAGGGTCATCGGGAGCCCCACGCCCCTCAACACCCTCCTGCCGGGGGATCTGCTCAGCGGCGAGTCCATCTAGGAGACACGGTGGAAGTAACAATCATCAGCACTAAAGGAGAACAGAGAATTTAAAATTAAAAAAAAAAAAAAAATTCAAAAAAAAAAATTTCAAAAATGGTAACCCTTTCCAGTCCCGGGCTTGATGAAGAATCCAGCTTTAACCCATGAGACTGGCAGCCCTCCTTAGTACCTCTGTCCAATATTGAATCTGAAACTGCAGAAGTCCTTGTGAACTGTTCCTGAAACAGTATGGGCTCCTTTGGTCAGTGTCACATGCTAATGACAGGTTTTACTTTTTTCATGGCTTTTTTTTTTGTTTTGTTTTATGTCGTCTTTTTATGTTTGTATGGTGATTTTTCAAAACCAAGTATAAAAGCTGCTTAGAATAGGTCTATCATGAAGGGCACTTTTCAGAATTTGGGCTGGAAAGGGTTATTTTATCAACTTGGGGGGGTGGGAAGGGGAAATGAAAGCCTATTTAAATGAGCCTGTGACTATTATGCACATTACAGAGGCGGACCCAATAATCAGAAAGGGTGAAGTGTGATATTTTACCATTGGTACAGAAAAGTGACGATTCCCAGTGGCAACTCTGGACTGTACAGGTTGAGAGGGGGGGAGGGAGGGCAGGGTTGGGGTATCTCTGTGTCCACTGCTCCCATGGATCTGCCTATGCACATTACCCTTGTTTCATTACTTTTTCATGTCATTTTTTTAATCCCAAAAAATATAAAAAGTAAAAAAAAAAGAATAAAAAAAATCAACAAAGAAAGAAAAAAAATACTTAAAAAAAAAAAAAGCAACAAACCATATCAACATGCAAATACTTGAATCCAGCAGGCCAATAACAAAATGTGAACACTTTCTGAGTTGAATTATTACACTTCCAGGTCAGCATCAGTACACAAAAAACAGGCTCTAAGAATTTTGTTTTTTAAAAGTTCAGACTCTATGTTTTTGTTGGGACAGATGTGAGTGAGTGAGTGTGTGTGTGTGTGTGTGTGTGTGTGCGTGTGCCCACGTGTGGTTTAACTCAACGTGTGAAGTTTTTTCCTTTGGTTCAGTATATGCTTTTTATTTGCTCATTGGTCAAATGTTTAATTGTTATTAGCTTCTAACTTTGCACTGAGTGTCCGCAGCCCTTCTTGTAGCTAATCCTGTAATGGTAAAAACACACAAAAAACAAAAAAAGAAAAAAAAAAAGGGAATTGTAAAAAAAAAAAGGAAAGAAACTGATAGAAGGGGCCGGCGACAATTCACGTGTAAATGTTTACTCAAGGACTCTTATTGCATTTTAAAATTACAGTGTGTATCTCTGGAGAATAATATGTATATCTACCTTTAGCGGCTTTTTATTGTGGACTAATGCAAGAAAGTTATTACCGGAGTATTGCACCATTTTTCCATTCGGAATATAAAGTTTAAAAAAAAAATACTCTTGTTGAACTGTGGCCATAGATAATTGTAAAGAGTTGATAGTTCCCTTGCAAGCAGGAACAGAAACAAGCACTTGGACATAAGTTTTGACTGCTTTTGGAGGAGCCAGGAGTTTTGGCTCCCACCTGTTTACAGACCTTTTTTTCTCCTTCAAACTTTAAAATAAAAAAAGGAATTAAAAAAATAAAAAAAAAAAAGAGAAAAAACAAAACAAAAAAAAAAGACTTCCATCGTAAAGAAAACTATTTTCAGAATGAAGATATGCTACTTCAGAGCTCTGGGATTGAACAGTGTTGTTGTATTATCCTTTTCTTTGGCCATTGCTGTGTACTATTTTTGTTGTTGTTTTCCTCCTCTTCGTCAAAGTGGCGAAAACTTTGTGATCACTATCTTGCACATGGTGGAAGATGTCTCAGGAAAGCCGGGTTTCCCGAGGAGCAACTCCACACCATTTCATGTATTTTTAAAACCCAACTCCTAGCACTGAAGATATTATTAAAAAACAAAATAAAATAAAAAAAAAAAAGACAGTAAGAAAGAAGAAAAATACCTAATCTAATGTGTAGCAGTTACATATTTACCAAATAATGGACTCAAAAGAAATAGATGTTTGAAGAGTGCTTTATATATTAAAAAATCGCTTTATGTTTAAAAAAAGATCAATGTTTTTGATTGTTTTGAAAGGAAGAAAGACAATGGAATAACATACACTTCAAGTATGTTTTAAAAATTATATGAACATTGTGCTCCCTGCCTGCTTGGATCAGGAAACTTGTGCATTACATTTTTTTTTTTTTTTTGGAAGATTAGCTTTTTAATGGTTTTATCAGATTTAAAGGGTCCTGCAAGATTGCAAATTAACAAAAGCTGGTTTTATAGAGGATCATGAACTATGCACAAACTGGGTTCAAGACTTGTTTTTTTTTGTTTTTCCTCAAGTTTTAGTAGTGTATTTAGCTGAATAACCTTTCCTCAGAGTAATTGCATCTCATTGCCATTACACGCCTCCTACATATATATTTTATATATACATATATATACACACACACACTTATATAAAATATGTATGTGTGTATGTGCGTGTTTACATACAATTTTCCATGCTGAAGTTTAGCATTGAGTTGTAGAAAAACTCCTGATATTTTCAAATTGGGAATGAAAATTTCTGTTGGAGGGGTTGGGGTGGGGGGAACGGGTGGGTTTTGTTTTTAGGGGCTATTTTTTTTTTTTTTGCCTTTCCTTTTGAATTAAAGATGTCTGTAACTCTGAGATTAAAAAGAAAACCAACAATTGTGGCTTTTAATGTTTATTCTCCTCATAGAATGTGATTGTTAAAAGAACATGCACCGAAAGTTGCTTTCAAGAGTACGAAGATTCTTTGAAACTTAATAAATTGCAGTTTTTTCTTGGCTGTTGAAATAATGTGTACTTTTCTTTTATGCAGGGGATACTAAATATATATATATATATATTGTTAAATCTGTGAAGGTATTTCATGGAAGGAGTTTAATTTTGAATGAGAATGCTGTGTACAGACAGGCAAACCCCTCCTGTTGTGGTCACCCCTCTGCTCTCTGCTGGTGACACTCATGAGCTTTTCCATCAACGCTTTGCACATCTCATCCAGGAGCAGCAGATCCCATTTTTGCCTTCAGATTCTGTTTTTTTCTCATTTATCCATGTCTCCAGTCACACAGCAGGTTGTTTGTTACCCCCTCCAGCCAGGCTGGGGCTCCCCCAGCTCCTCCCCAGTTTCTGGCCCTGGGCATCTCTAAATGCCATTTTACAGATCTGATCTTTTTGAGGTGAGCAATAGCCCTTAAAAAGGGGAGAAACAGCAAAATATTTTCATTACAGCTCTAATGAGAACACGTTCTGCATGTTTGGCCTTGCAGGGTTTGAGTTTAGGAAGATTTCACCACTTGAATGTTCCTTTACCCCCAAGATGTCAGTGCAGGGCTGGGGGTTCATGGAGAGATCCCAGCCTTGCTCCATTCCCTGGGGTTTCTGCCTCTCCCAGAGCAGTCCCTGAGCCCCCACAGGTGCTGGGGGTGATGCTCAGCAGGGTCCCAGGGTGTGAGTTTGTCCAGAGGAGCTCTTTCCCCACCTCCATTTGGGAAGGAGAACCTGGCGTGAACAGTTGGGTCCTTGAGGGTGAGGCACCACTCACATTTACTGGGATTGTCCATGAGCCAGAATTCCCAGGAAAAACCCAGTGGGCAGTGGGGTCTGAGTTGTGTTGGCAGGTGTGATATAGTTAAAATACTCAAATTCAGCTTTGGGATAACTTCTGATATGGAAACAGCAAAAACTCCCAGACTGGAGCTGTTCTGCCAATGTGATTGATCTGGCCCCAAAATCACACCGCTGTTTTTCACTGGAAGCTGCTTCCATTCCCACCTCCATTTTTTTTCTCTTCCAGGTGTTTATAATGAAACATAAAAGAGAGCTGCCTTTTCTTTTCCTTCTCTGAATCTTTCTTGGGTTTGTGTTTTGTTGGGCATTTTGTCCTTGGTAAGGAGGGTTTTCAGTTTTGGTGTCTCTGGGCCTTGTTGCCAAGACATCGAGGTCCCTTAGAGTCAGATGTTTTATTCTTCCATGAGGTTGGCAGCAACAACTTTTTGTAAACCAGATGCACTCTTAAAATTCAGAACCCCGCCCGATACATTAAAGGAAATTTCAGCCTCAGGCCAAAATCGATCTTTCAGTGTTTGCATAGCTCTTTAATTTTTTCAGTGTCATTCTTCTGCTTCAATCCTATCCATTATTTCTTAAATTGTAAAGAAAGCTCCTGATGATCAGGATTCACCCTCTGGCTGCAGAATCTTTACAAGAAAACATTTTTAACAGTTTGTGTTTTTCTGTATATTGCATTTGCTGTACCTCCATGGCACCTTCACTGCATGGCTCCCTGTCTTTAGGCCAAGAGAATTTCTCTTTCCTAAGTGGTCTGAAACTGTCAGATTTCTTAGTTCTTTGTCTAGTTTGTGGGTGGCACTGGCAGAGCAGATGTTTTGCTATTCTCCCAGAAATATATTATTGTTCTTGCTAATTCAATATATGATTGTGTATGTGAAGGAGCTTTTTAATTAAAAACAACAAAAAAATGTATATGGCTATCTGTATATGTTAAGAATTACTGCAGTTGGAAGAGTCTGGAAATGAAATTAGAAAACATTTTAGGATTTGGGTTGTGGGCAGCCACAGCGTGGAGGA